TTTTAAAAAATTTCACAGTACATGTTATAGTATTTGTTGTTGCTACATGCCATCGAGTAGGTTCTGAGTCATAGCAACCCTGTATAGTGTGTCTGAGGTTAGCAGTCTAGTGCTTATTCTATAGTGCTGTACCAGTACTCCAGTTATAGGTTAGAAAAAGTAAAATGAGAAACCATGTGTAGGAATAAGATTTGCTTTAAAGACTGAAAACATTTTCACAGAAGTTGTTTGTTGAGGTCAGCTCATTTTAAGCATCTATGCTCATTCTAATTTTAAGTTTTATTAGCCACAAGTATTGTTAAGTGTTTGATTACTGACCTTCTAATGAGAATATACACCTAACCTTCAAAGTTTCTAATTTTTGACCCTAACAATTAAAAATTCAGAATTAGACTTATTTTTAACCCCATAGGTAAAATGTCAAGTTGTCTCATCTGACAATAGCTGTATAAAATCATCTCTCAAATACTACTTCCCATTTCTACTCAGAAGTTCAATAAATGTTAATTTCCTTTTCATCCATTCTAAAACAGTCTTTAAGTCTTTTCTTTTTATAAAATTTACATTATATTTCTTTTTAAATCTGGAAACTTAAGTCATCCTTGCAACTTTCCTATGAAAATGACATCCCAAGTAAGATGCCAATATAGGGTCAGAGAGCATTCACATTTGGAGATAAATTTCACAGGAGGTAATAGAGTCATTTTCCCTCCTTTGGGTGATGAAGACCCATCTAAGATTTCTGTCTTCTACATCAACATCCTGTGTGAAACATTGTCATAGTGTGTAGTGTCCACTGTGTTCAATACCGAAGGGTCAGTTGGTTATACAGAGGAACATGGTGGGAAGGTAAGAGAAGAGCACAACAGGAAGCAACTAGTATTGTTTTATTGATAAAGAAATCAAGGATCAGAGAGCATTAGTCACTTGCCCAAAGCCACACAGTTCATATTTGAAAAGCTATGTAGCTACCTCTACTCTGTGGAGGTCCTTGCATTAACAGTCTAATAAGGATTTCATTTCAGTTTGTCTTACACCATAAAGTGCTAACATTTCACAACCCAAATTGTTCTGTAAACTGTGAAATTAACCAGGTTTCCTAATAGTCATAAGAAAGAAGCTAAGTGGGGAAAAGGCAAACCTACCAAATTTCAAACATGGTCCCTGGAGGTGGGAATGGAGAAGGGGAAACTTTAACTGAATACTTTCATGGTCCTGGGACTAAAGCCTAAGAAACAAGTCAAAGATTTTAGGTCTCATTGATGACAGTCCTTCCTATTGTGGCCCCGTAGGATAAGCTCTGAACTATTCATTGCAAGGTTGGTGGTTCAAACCCACTAGCTGGTCCTCAAAAACCCTATACAGTGTCATTATGAGTTGGAACCAACTAGACGACACTTAACAATAACAATGTACTTAAATCAGAATTAAGTCTTTATAAGAAAAGCCAGGGTACCAAGCCTGCTTCCTGCAGTAACAGCATCTTACAAAGGATGTTGTTGCTACTGTTAGTTGTCTTCTAGTTGGTTCTTTCCTACTTATGGTGACCTTATGTACAATGGAAGGAAATGTCGCCTGTCCTGTACCATCCTCCCAATCTTTGGAATGTTTGAGTCCATTGTTGCAGTTGATCTGTCTATTCATCTCATGGAAGGTTTCCCTTTTTGTTACTGACCCTCTACTTTATCACGTGGATCATTAAAAGCTCTAGACAGCATTGTGGAGAATGAATATTTCAGAACACTTAATTGTGCTCATGAGAAACCTGTACATAGACCAAGAGGCAGTCAGCTGAACAGAA